AGGGAGAAACCAAAAAGAGCAAGAGTGGCTATTCTTACAGCAAACAAAAGAGACTTTAGTCAAAAACTGGAACAAGAGACAAAGAACATTCCATTCAACACCAGCAAAATACACATTATTTTCATTCGCCAAGATGGGACATACGTTAGGCCACAAAACAAGTCCTCAAAAATTTAAGAGGATTGAAGTCTTGTCAAGTATCCTTTCTGACCACAGTGACATAAAACTAAAAATTTCTAAGAGAAAGAAATTGGAAAACTCATAAATATGTGGAAATTAATCAACATACTCCTGAACAATCAAGGAAGAAACCAAAAGGGGAATAAAATGTAGTATCTTAAAACAAACTAAAATGGAAACACAACATACCAAAACTTACGGGGTGTGCAAAACAATTCTAAGAGTGAAGTTTATATATATAAGCCCCAAACGTGAAGATAAAAAGATCTCAAATAAGCAGTATACATCAAATAAATGAAAGAATAACAACTGAAGCCCGAAATTAACAAAAAGAAGGAAATAACAAAGATCAAAGCACATATAAATGAAATAAAGACTAGAAAAGATCAATGAAGTTAAGAGTTAGTTGGCATTTGGAAAATATAATCAAAGTTGACCAACCTTTAGCAAGGCTAAGAAAAAAGGAAAAAACTTTTATAAGGCCAGTATTACTATGATAAAGCCAGATAAAGCCAGATACAGACACTACAAGAAAGCTTTTTCTTAAAGGCAAAAATTATGTATTTTTGGATTGGAAAATACTAGACTGGTTTGTGAAAAGATGTCAGCACGTGGGTGGGTGCATGTGTGCATGTGTACAAGCTTTTCTTGTTCCATTTTACGTCACTTTATTTTTGCAGATGTTGCATTTTGTACAGACAGAATGAAGGTTTGTGGCAACCCCACATTGAGCAAGCCTACCAGTGCCATTTTTTCTGGTAGCATATGCTCACTTTGTGTCTCTGTGACACATTTTGGTGATTCATGAACTATTTCAAACTTTTTTTTTTTTTTTTGAGTTGGAGTCTCACTCTGTCGCCCAGACTGGAGTGCAGTGGCCACTTCTGGCCACTGCAGCCTCGACCTGCTGGTTTCCGGAGATCCTTCCGCCTCAGCCTTCCAAGTAGCCGGAATTACAGGCATGCGCTGCCACGCCCGGCTGATTTTTTGATTTATTGTAGAGATGAGGTCTCACTGCCCAGGCGGATCTCGAACCCACGGGCTCAGGCAATCCAACTCACCTCAGCCTCCCAAAGGCGCGGGATTACAGGCTGAGCCACCGAGCCCAGCTATTTCAAACTTTTTAATTATTATTATATCTGTTGTGCTGATCTGTGGTCAGCGATCTTTGATGTTACTATTGTAATTGTTTGGGGATGCCATGAACCATGCCCACAAAAGAAAATGAAAATACTCAATAAACGCTGTCTACGTTCTGAGCGCTCCACCAACCTGCCTTTCCCCATCTCTCTCTCTCTCTCCTTGAGCCTGCTTATTCCCTGAGGCATGATAATGTTGAAATTAGATCATTGTAAGCCTTCAATGGCTTCTAAGTGTCCCAGGGAAAGGAAGAGTCGCATATCTCTCATTTTAAATCCAAGGTTAGAAATGATGAAGGTTAGTGAAGAAGGCATGCCAAAAAGCTGAGACAAGCCAAAAGCTAGACCTCTTGCACCGGACAGGTAGCCCAGTGGTGAATACAAAGGGAAAGCTATTCAAGGAAATTAAAAGCTCTACTCCCGGAAACACACAACTGATAAGAAAGTGAAAGAGCCTTATCGCTTATATGGAGAAAGTTTGAGTGGTGGGGTTTGGAAGACCAAACCAGCCCGAACATTCCCTTAAGCTAAAGCGAATCCAGAACAAGGCCCCGAGGCTCTTCAAGTTACAAAGGCTGAGAGAGGCAGGAGAGCTGCAGAAGAAAAGTTGGAAGCTCGCAGGCGCTGGTTCATGAGGCTTGAGAAAAGAAACTTAAAGTCCAGGTGAAGCTGCAAGTCTGAGATAGAAGCTGCAGCAGGTGATCCAGAAAATTTAGCTAAGGTAATTGACAAAGGTGGCAGGGAACACAAAACAACAGATTTTCAATGAAGATGAAAGTCTTCTATTAGAAGAAGATGCCCTCTAGGACTTCCAGAGCTAGGGAGGAGAAATCAGTGACTTCAGAACTTCAAAGGGCAGGCTGACTTTTTTGTTAGGGGATACTTATGTTGAGGCTAATGTTTATCTACCATTCTGGAAATCATAGGGCCTTAAGAATTGGGCTCAATCTTCTCAGCCTGTGCTCTAAATAGAACAAAGCTAGGCCTCTTGCACTAAATAGCCAAGTCGAAAATGCAAATAAAATGTTCTTGAAGGAAGTCGAAGGCTATACTCCAACAAGCACACAAATGTTAGGAAAGGGAAACAGACTGATTGCTGATTTGGAGAAAGTGTGAATGGTCAGGATAGAAGATCAAACCGGCCACGACATTCCCTTCAGCCAAAGCCTAATCGGAGCCTGAATGACAGCACATCTGTCTGCCACATGGTTTACTGAATATTTCAAGTTCACTGTTGAGACTTATTGTTCAGAAAAAAAAGATTATCAAAATATTATTGCTCACTGACAATGCCTCTGGTCACCCAAGAGCTCTGATGGAGATGTTCAAGGAGCTAAAATCTGTTTTCACCCCTGCTAATACAACATCCATTCTGCAGCCCATGGACCAAAGAGTCATTTTGGCTTTCAAGACTTATTATTTGAGAAAGACATTTTCCAACGCTATAGTTGCAATAGATGGGGATTTCTCTGATGGATTTGGGGAAAGCAAGTTGAAAACCTTCTGAAAAGGAATCGCCATTCTAGATGCCATTAAGGGAATTCACGACTCACGAAAGAAAGTCAAAACATCAGTATGAACAGCAATTTGAAAGAAGTTGATACCAACCCTCATGGACGACTTTGAGCAGCTCAACACTTCAGTGGAGGAGGTCACTGCAGATGCGGTAGAAACTGCAAGAGAACTAGAAGGAAAAGTAGAGCCTGAAGAAGTGACTGAATTGCTGTAATCTCATGGTAACACTTAAACTGATGGGAGTTGCTTCTTATGGGCGAGCAAAGAAACTCACTTTCTGATGTGAAATCTACACCTGCTGAAGATGCTGTGAACATTGTCGGGATAACAAAATGGTACTTAGATACTTCCTCAACTTAGTTGATAAAGCAGCAGCAAGGTTTGAGAGGATTGACTTCAGTTTTGAAAGGAGTTCTGTGAGTAAAAAACTGCCAAACAGCCAAACATGCTACGGAGAAATCTTGAAAGAGTTCATCGACGCAGCAAACTTCATTGTCGCCTTTTAAGAAATTGCCACCACCACCTCAGCCTTCGGCAACCCACAACCTTGATCAGGCAGCAGCCATCCACAGAGAGACAAGACCTTCCACCAACAAAATGATGATGCGCATGGGAGGCTCACATGATCCTAAGTGCTTTTTAGCACTAAAATTGTTTTTTAATTATGGCATATACATTTATACACATAATGCTACTGCCCACTTAATGGACTACACTTCAGTATAGACAATGCATATATGCACTGGGAAACCACAAATTTTGTGTAATTTGCTTTATTATCATATTCACTTCATTGGGGTGTTCGGGAACTGAAACTGTATTTCTGAGGTATGTCTGCATGGCCATCCCAAAAGTATTTATGTAGTTTATGCTTTATTAAGTCCAGAGTTGAAGACACACTTACAGAAACATTATTTGATGGTTTTACTCCTTATAATTCTTTCATAATTAGAATGACAAACTTTGAACAATTGTTTTAATTTTGTAGGAGTAGATCCCTCTGATTGAAAATGGGAAATCAATTTTTTAAATTACTATTCGAAATGTACAAAACTAAATAAGGGTAAGAGAAATTTTATGTTCTTTTCCTGCATTGACTTAAGACAAAAACATTGTGCCCGTGTCAGAAAGCTGGAGTTTCGGACAAAGGAGATTCTGAGAGTAAAAATCCTTGGGACACAGCCCAAACTCCAGGACCAACTTCAGGTTTTTAAGGGCTATAAAATAGATGGGCCTCAAGCCAATATTTCCCATGAATAAAGGGATCCAGGTGCAGTAAGTCCTCTACATATGAACCTTTAAGTTGTGAACTTTCAAAGATGTGAACCTACACGCGTGAACTAACATAAGTTAGTTCACGTGTCAGGCATACATTGTCAAGTGCACGCATCCTCTGCAAGTAGTTGTGCTTTTGTGTACTGTACAGTACTGCATAGAGTACAGTAGCACAGTATCTTTATTTCAAACCCAGAAGCAACCGTAAAAGCAGCAGTAACATAGCTGGTACAGACAGTTCAGCTGATTTTGTGAGTCGGGTACTTAGGCTAACTTTGTTGGACTTACAAACAAATTAGACTTAAGGATGTGCTCTAGGAACTGAACTCACTTGTATGTAGGTGATTTACTGTAGCCATCAACACAGAGGCAAGACCTTCTGCCAACAACAGCTAGGAACTTATCACTGGAATGACAAATCGTGAATAATTATTTTATTTGCACAGGTCTCTCTGACTGAAAATGGGACCGAAATTTTAACAAATATGATTCTACTAAAAAACCATAATGGAACCCATATCTGGGTTCCAGGGGGAAGGAACATGGACTGAGGTTTGTTTCTGAGAGATGAGAA